TCTCAAACCTGGAATTTATCTCCTAGTTGAAAATGAATATGGTTTTGTTATTCATTGGCCTGAAAAAGGTTGCTATAACAATAATCCCTCCAAAAAAAACAGAAATCTGGTGAATCTTCACAGGTAATATAAGAATATAATAACGGATTTTTATTCATTTTACCCTTATAATATATATGTCTATTTATTTAGATATCTTACGGAATTGACAAACGCTCATTTCTGCTTAATGGATGCACAAGAACTTGCGACCTTTGACTTTGAACACCTGGATAGATATGTTAAGAATGATGAGGAGGAGACCGAGGACGATAATATCTGTTGTGTATATAAGGTAGAAGAAAAAAAACAAGAAGATTTTAACTTTTACGATGGATTCAAGGTAAGCAAAGACTCATTTTTAAATGGTGTATGATGAAATAAGATGGATTCATAAAGTTATTTATTTGATTTTTGTAAAGCTTAAATTCGACAATAGGGACTCTAGAGAACATGAATTATCTCTGCCCTCGAACCTTTCTCCTGCCATGCCGATAAAGTCTTGCAATAATCAATCATTTATTACCTGTCATATGTCTAAGCCCAGGGAAATACATAAATTGGGATGGCGTGCCGGCGTATCCCCTAATGAAATAAAAAATTATAATATGAGAATAGACCCGTGCGTTTCTTTAGCTGAATTGATAGACTTGGCCGAATTTTTATCTATAGGAAGTAATCTGATCAAAACATATAAAGATGAAGTGGAGCGGGCTCGTAAAGATTATAAGAAAGAGAAGGAGAATATCGATAATAATATTAAAGTCGACTCGGATATCCTTTTTTCAATACTCATGTATGATCTAAGCAAAACATACGAGTATGTATTAAACAATTTAATATCCATTTTATATGCACGCTATGTCCAATTTCTAATCTGGCGTATTATTGTTAGGATATTCGAAGGAAAACACGAATGCAAACATACTCAAAAAGGTAAATTTTTATTCATTACTGACTTTAAGTACAGTACATTAACACACAAACATTGTGTTAATTTCTGTTGAATTTTTTGTGTATAGATGTTGACAGAATTAATGAAAGTTATCCTTATGTGATTACTGAATTGCAACGGAAGGTTGGAAATATCGACTCAAAAAATTGGAAGATCCTCAAGAAACGCTACTTGGCTAGCGACTCCATCGTCAAAAAGCACAAATTATCCGATGAAAATGGCGATGAATTTATTTATAACAATTTAACAAAGGATGAAAGAAATTCGGTTAAACAATATATTTTAAAAAAAATTTCTAATAATGACCTAAGTTCTGATTATGAAAAGGCATTGAAGGAAATCCGCAACATATCGGATCAACAATTTGTTCAATACTTTTCTAGTACAGGTGAAAATTCGGAAGTGAGTGAGAAAATAAAAATCGTGTTTCTAAAGGAATACACTATTTGGAGAGATCAGCTGCGTAAAGAATACTCGCGACGTGAATATCTCTTACATTCCCAGAAGGTTCAATCTTCTTTGG